TGTGGTTGAAATAGAGCTAAGGTGATATCACCACAATTGAAAACAGCCTATTTTTACCTATTTGTAATAGGGAAGCTTTGATGCTGTATCTTGGTGTTGCCAACATTGATTAGGTGTGTTTGGGTGTCGGGAACACGTATCTGAAACCACAGTTACTGACTTGCTTTGTATCATGGTATTTTCTTCTTCTAATGAATCCAGTATTGTCATGGTAACTAAAACATTTTTTATTTCATATATAGACGATGCTTGGGTATTGTGCATAGAGTATTGTGTTATCAGAAGAAGTGCAGAGTTAGGTTACAATATACTTGGAAACAGTTATGGACAGGTAAGAATGGTGAAGTTAGGCATTAGTGTTCATCTGTGAACTGGTAAATGTGAAGGTAAATGAAGAGGGAGGCATTAGTGTGCAGGTGAATATGAAATTGCACTTTAACGTGCATCTATGTGCATCTGTGAACAGGTAGATGCAAAGTTAGGCATTAGTGTGCATCTGTGAACAGGTAGATGCAAAGTTAGGCATTAGTGTGCATCTGTGAACAGGTAGATGCAAAGTTAGGCATTAGTGTGCATCTGTGAACAGGTAATTGGGCAGTTAGGCATTAGTGTGCATCTGTGTTCAGGTAATTGGGGAGTTAGGCATTAGTGTGCATCTGTGTTCAGGTAATTGGGGAGTTAGGCATTAGTGTACATCTGTGTTCAGGTAATTGGGGAGTTAGGCATTAGTGTACATCTGTGTTCAGGTAGATGCAAAGTTAGGCATTAGTGTGCATCTGTGAACAGGTAGATGCAAAGTTAGGCATTAGTGTGCATCTGTGAACAGGTAATTGGGCAGTTAGGCATTAGTGTGCATCTGTGTTCAGGTAATTGGGGAGTTAGGCATTAGTGTGCATCTGTGTTCAGGTAATTGGGGAGTTAGGCATTAGTGTACATCTGTGTTCAGGTAATTGGGGAGTTAGGCATTAGTGTGCATCTGTGAACAGGTAGATGCAAAGTTAGGCATTAGTGTGCATCTGTGAACAGGTAGATGCAAAGTTAGGCATTAGTGTACATCTGTGGTCAGGTAATTGGGCAGTTAGGCATTAGTGTGCATCTGTGTTCAGGTAATTGGGGAGTTAGGCATTAGTGTGCATCTGTGGTCAGGTAATTGGGGAGTTAGGCATTAGTGTGCATCTGTGGTCAGGTGATTGGGGAGTTAGGCATTAGTGTGCATCTGTGGTCAGGTGATTGGGGAGTTAGGCATTAGTGTGCATCTGTGTTCAGGTAATTGGGGAGTTAGGCATTAGTGTACATCTGTGTTCAGGTAATTGGGGAGTTAGGCATTAGTGTACATCTGTGTTCAGGTAATTGGGGAGTTAGGCATTAGTGTGCATCTGTGGTCAGGTAATTGGGGAGTTAGGCATTAGTGTGCATCTGTGGTCAGTTAATTGGGGAGTTAGGCATAAGTGTGCATCTGTGGTCAGGTAATTTGGGAGTTAGGCATTAGTGTGCATCTGTGGTCAGGTAATTGGGGAGTTAGGCATTAGTGTGCATCTGTGTTCAGGTAATTGGGGAGTTAGGCATTAGTGTACATCTGTGTTCAGGTAATTGGGGAGTTAGGCATTAGTGTACATCTGTGTTCAGGTAATTGGGGAGTTAGGCATTAGTGTGCATAAATTCAGTTTATTTTGTATTTTTTACAGCACTTGTGAGCTTATTGAAATTTTTCTTGTCCAATGAATCTTCATTACTTCCGAAATACAATATATTTTACTTGTCACATAAGGTAAGTAAGCCCTCTCTTATTGCAGAAATATTCATTGGTTTGTCAGGAAATGATGCATGATAAATGTTGTAGACTTTCTGTATTCAGGTAAAGTCAGGTGAGCTATCCAATGTGAGACAGTTAATACATTTTTGAATGTATAATTCATTGAGTGCAAATGATGGGAATACATTTAATTTTCCCAAGTGAATGCAAATCTCTGCAAAAAACAAATATTCTGAGACTATAAATAAATATATCCGGTATATGTTTTGGAAACAATCACTCATAGACAGGTTTTAATTTTCATTGATAACTGAAATTTGCTGTAAATTATATTCTTATGAAAAACTGTGTAAAATAAAACCCCTAAAAGACTAAAATTAGATGTCAATTGAAATTAACGCTTTCATAGTGTACTGAAAACCTCAAAAGGAGTAAACAAATATTTGACACAAATAGTGTACTTTACAAATGAGCATTACGTGATATGGTTAATTATTTATGAGGATTTATGATTTGGACAAACAGCGATGTTGTCCCCAGAATAAAAAAAATGGATGTGTTGTGGCTAATTTGCATATTAATTAAACCCGTACACACATAATGCATATGTACAGTACTGATAATTTATTAACAACAAACAAAATGGCAGATCTAAACATGCTATCAATTGGAAACCTTTTCCTGCATATGATTGAATCCTGTGTGCAGCTACCCTATCTGTCTGTATATATGTATGTATATCACTTTTTTTCTTCCATCATTATCTCAAGAACCACTAATCAAATTTTGATTAAACTTGGTTCATAGATTTGATTAGGTTTTGGTAGAAATCCATGCATATTAATTATCTAATTTGAATGATAATTAGCTAATTTTTAGCTGTTCCATGCCTTTTCCACTGATATCTAAGGAACCAGTTATTGGATTTTGATGAAACTTGGTACATAGATGCTCTGAACTAATGCACAGATTTGATTTTGGGTAAACATTTTGGCTTTTCCACTGATATCTCCAGTACTATCATCACATTTCAATAACATTTGGTACATAAATGTTCTAAGACAATAGACAGACCTGATTAATTTTGGGTTAAAATCTCTACATATTAATTACCTAATTTGCATAATTAAATCAATTTTATTCTTTCACACTGATGTCTATAGTACTAATTATTCCATTTCAATGAAACTTGGTATGTAGATGCTCTAGGACAATGTGCAAACCTGATTAGTTTTGGGTTAATATCTGTTCATATTAATGACCTGATTTGCATAATTAATTTTTCCATCAATATCTCAAGTACAAGTAATTTAGAATTAATTTGTAAGTGTCTCTAATACTCTCAGCACACGGGAGTTCTTTCTAAGCTTTATTTGATTTTATTGTGTTTTTTTATTCGTAATATATGTCTCTTGTTATTAATTGGTTCATAAATAAACTGTTAGGTATGTAATACAAATTTTCTTAAAACCTTGCCGTGTAGCGCGGATCTCGTGGATGGGTTTTATGTTCTCTGCACGTAATAAGCTCGGTGGTCGAGGAGAAGACGTGTAGTGACGTGAAGGCAGGCGATTAGGTGCCGTATGCGAGCGCCGGTTCGAGTTACGCACACAGTACATGTTTACTATGATTTGACGTAGTACTTACCTTGCCGTTTATTCAAAGTTATTTGCTTACTAAGACAAATGATGTTGAATATATGTGACTCACACATAAAATCATTGTATATTTTTCCATATTTCAGGTTGTTGTAATATTTAATTTATTTATTACCTATGGTGATACATTTCTTCCAAGTCCACACAGTTATGATGAGTTATATTATGAAATTATTCGTATGCATCAAGTTTTTGATAATCTATATTCAATGGGTAAGTGCATTGTTAACACTTTTCTATAATTTATTTGTTAATTGGGACTAAATGGACCTAAGTTGCCATTGACCACAGATCAGAATCCCGTAAAAAATAAAATAAATGTGTGTAAAAGGTGTATCATTATTTTATGGGAAAAAAATCTATAGATGTCACAATTCTAAAAAAACATACCCCAAGACAGGTCTATAAACCAATATATTGATTTCGTTTAATAACTATAAGGTATATAATATTTACATGAGTTTAGATTATTGTTATAAAATTCAGTAGTAAAGTAAAATACAACACTCACTCTTCATAAATTTGGAGGGGTTGACAAATTCTGTAAGCAATTGACATATTCTGTCTGGTTGTTTTAGAATTAACATTAACATTAGAATGGAATTACAGAGTAATTCAACCTCAATTCTTTGTGGATGTGAATGAAATTATCCATATAAGCCAGTAGATACATGAATTGTGTTGAACATAATACAGACATTTGACATGAGTAGTAATGACTTGTGTGATACAGAAACAATTGTCTCTTTGTTAATGAGTTGTTCTGTTTATATCCTGTTTACAGCGGTAGCTGTTATTAGCGGCAAGAATTTGTCCGACCCTGGTTGGTTAACAAAGTTAATGTTTAATTGTTTCATTCATTCATTCATTAAATTAACATTTCCGTAGAAATCAGTTTGGTTCATAGGGTGAATACTCAGTTTGGATTAATACAAAACTCTGGGTACCAGTAACCACTTGTTATTATCTTTATTCTGGGTGATTTCTTCAGCACAATAAAGTCTTTGTCTGCCCAGACATAAATAAATTGCTA